GTCGTGTTGATGGCTTGATGGCATCCGGCATCCCTTCTGGTCGGCTGTCAAATAAACCGTGATGTCCAAGTTATGAGCTGCATTGCCAGCTGTCACCAGATGCCGCCTTCACGAAAGGTTTGCGTCGAAAATGGAATGTCTGCTTATGTCTGCCTTGTCTGTTGCAGGGGCTCTGTCATGCCGTCCAGGGCCACGAGGTCACGAGCATTGAGGCTTTCTTTGCCAGCGCAACACACGGCAGTTCTGTGTTGTCTGGCTTTTGCACACGTAGCGGAAGAACATGACACACTAGCAGTTGCTAGCAAAGTTTGAAAGCTTTGCATGGCCCGAAGGTCCTCGATATTCCGATATTCAGTTCCAACAGGGTAAAATCGCACAGCTCGTACGAACCATGTTGATGCGAAATCCGACGCGCATCGAGTTCAAGGTGGAGGACGCTCAGGCACGGGCTGGTCATTCTGGACTTGAGTTGGGACTGATGCTTGTGCCTGCAGGAATACATCCGGAACAGGGAGAGACAAAAGCGACCAAATCAAGGACAGACGTGCACATTGCCACCAGGCCGGCTACCTCCCGAACCCTCCTGAATGCCGATCGTGGTGTGAATCGTCCAGTTGCATCTCGTGACGGTTGGAGCTGCCATTGTTGGTGCAGCATGGTGATTTTTCCGTTTATGCTGCAGTTGACGACTCCTCATCCTCCTACAAGTGCTCCACAAAGTTGTCTCTGCTTCGCCAGAAAAGCTACACCAGACAAGCCGACAGCGCAACAGCAGCTGCAACAGCAGTAGCAGTAGTAGTGGGCATAGCAGTGGCACGCGGTCTGCTGTAGAGAATGATAGGTATGGCGCCCCCCCAAACCCAAGAAGTTCAGCTCCTGCGCCAGTACCGGGTGCTTCGGCCGGCAGGCTGCCGCGTGCTCACTTCCTTTTTCAGGGATGCCGTTCCTGGTTCTGAGATGTCAGATGGTTCGGGGATGTTCAGGCTTGCGAAGTGTCTGTTTAATCAAGCCTGGAGCTGTGCACATTTCCTGCCACGGAGTTCCGGGTGCACTGATCATTGTCTGCAAGTCCAAGGTCCTGTGCTCTCCGCATGCTTTCGATGTACTCGGGCCAGCTTGACTCATCGCTTCAATCTTTCGGCGAGCTGAAATACACTCCGAGAGCCTGTGATGTGGCAAGAGTCCCTCAAGCCTCCACCTGAGCCAAGAAGCGATGCCCCAACAGCTCTTTTGAGCGTACCAGCACAACAGCCTCACATTGAATTTGATCTTATCTAGAATAGGCATGTTGCTCCCCTGCACTGCCACCAAGGGACGACTCCGGGGCCCAGAGCATCCTTGCGTCCTCGCCCAGCGTGGAGGACCTTCATCCGACGCCCAGCATTCTTGAGCCGCAACAAAGCCGACCTTTAGAGGCCCGATGGATACAACCATCGTCAATGTCATTTTGCAATTTTCATTTTCTTTTCCCTCAGCTCCACCACTATCGCTGCCACTCAGACTACCGTCATCAAATCATGAACATCAGCTTCGTCGTCAACATCATCTTCATTGTTATATCATCAGCATCGCTATCAGCACCACTTTCATCATCATCATCATCCTCATCATCATCATCACCATCATCACGATGATGATTTGTTCTGTTGCGCACAAGCCGTCCGCGAACGTCAGGAGCGAATGCGCGACATGATGGTGGACGAGTCTGCTGCCTGCCTCGGCTTGAAAGTTTAGAACATATGACTGACGGCACAGATGACAAGAAGTGGCCCAGAAAAAGGGGCGACGTGTGTTTACGCTCCAGATCTCTTGCTATGCACAGCGTGGTTTATTAGGTCAGTGGTGCTGTCGGGGAAACACGAGAGTGAGCAGAAGAACGGCTGAGCAGCAACACAAGAGATATCACCATTTTGAATGCTGACTTGAGGGCGACATGCTGGTCTCAGGAACGAGAAAACATCTGGCACACTTTCGACGACAAATTATTCCTGGTCGGAGTTCACTTCTTGATGCAAGTGAGAGCCTGACAGGAAGTAAACCAGGCTTTTCGCGGCTTTAGGGTTTGTTCGACAACTCGCAGACGCAGCTGAGGCTATTGAAGAGGCACCGCAGCGGAGCTCTGATTCCTTCGCCATGCGCTTATTTCGGGCCATAGGTGAGCAGCTGTACCATGGTGACAATGACGACTCTAGTAAAAGGAAGATGGGCATATTGAGGACAGTATGGAGGACAGTATGGATTATCCAGGAGTCGCGCGTTATTGATAAATCTGCCGTCGAAGCTTAGCGGGTCCAGCCTCTCCACCCCCCGTGCCCAATTTTCAGCCGCATTCGAGTCTTTGAGCCTTACTTGAATCCAAAACCTTTAGTGTGACGTCCCCAAGCTCGAAGCTAGTCCGCAAACAAGACCTTCCCTCAAAATCTATACGGCCAAGCGGCCGAGCCACCTAGGAGCCCCCACCTCGGGATGGCAATCTGGCAGAGGACCGGTCTTTTCAGTCCGAGGCGCGCCGCGCTTTGGGGTTTGGGGTTCTGGGCTTGGGCGTTTGTTACAGGACCGGGTTTGGGATTCAGGTCTTGTGGTCTAGATTTTCGGCATCAGGAGGTTCACAACCGTCTTCTGGAGTTGAGCCCAGCTTCAGCCTCTAGTCTAGCACTATGCAGGATGGTAATGCACCCAGACCACACCCCGGCACTGGATTGTAAGACTTGAAACAGTGACGGGGATGGCTATGGCCTAGTAGCAAGAGGTTTTTCAGCCGGGGCGGCCCGAGGTGGAGCAGCTGACCGTTTTGGGCATCAGCGAGCAGGAAGCGCGAAGAGCCTTGCGTGCCACAGGCAGGGCCAGGGGCTTGTTCCACGTGAGCCCTGCCCTACAACAAGCATGCTGCAATGCTCGAGATTCCTGATGTCAAGTAGCAGGAGACATCCGGCACGACATGGCAGAAAGCTAGCAACTTTGGGACAGCCAGTCAATGCGCTCTGCTGGCCATGACGAAGAGGATGATAACAGCGACAGGGATGAGGATGATGAGTGTTGCTGCGAAGCCCTCAAGATGAGATGAGGATTGGCCATCTGGGTTGCAGCAATGGCCTAGGAGCAGGAGCAGGAGCAGGAGCAGGAGCAGGAGCAGGAGCAGGAGCAGGAGCAGGAGGAGCAACAGGAGGAGTAGTAGTAGTAGTAGTAGTAGTAGTAGTAGTAGTAGTAGTAGTAGTAGTAGTAGTACTAGCAGTAGAGTAGACGAAGACGTAGTAGTAGTAAGAAGTACGAGTAGCAGAAGTAGTAGTACTGGTAGTAGCAATCGCAGTAACACCGGCACTAGGAGGAGGAGGAGGAGGAGGAGGAGGAGGAGGAGGAATCGCAGGAAGAGTAGGAGTAGATTTATTGGTTTTGGCTTCTGCCCCGTGACCCAGACATACGGCCTGGAAGCCACCAACATTAGAAATGTAGGCCCCTGCATTTCTCATTCTGGCCTGTGCCCGAACTTAGGGCTTCAACAAGCATTCTGCGAGCAATTCTGGGGTTTTAGGGTTACGACCTCGAAACCACCCGATTCCCCTACATTTCTCATTATATATATTTTTCGAGGCTTGAGAACACCCGAACTAAGACACGAACCACCCATGCAAATAAGAAATGACACCAAAACGTTGGGTACCTTCCATTTCTCAGCTTGAAGGCGGAAGGCATTCTGGTTTTTCGGATTTGTGGTGCTACCCGGCTGACAACAGCCTCTACACTTCTTATTCTTCCGTTTCTGGACAGTGATCGCACAGTAATACTAGCAGTGGTAGCAGTAGTAGTCGTAATAGTAGTAGTAGTAGTAGTAGTAGTAGTAGTAGTAGTAGTAGTAGTAGTAGTAGTAGTAGTAGTAGCAGTAGCAGTAGCAGTAGCAGTAGCAGTAGCAGTAGCACTACAGCAGCAGGAGTAGTAGTAGTAGTAGTAGTAGTAGTAGTAGTAGTAGTAGTAGCAGTAGGAGTGGCAGTGGCAGTGGCAGTGGCAGTGGCAGTAGCAGTAGCAGTAGCAGTAGTATTAGGAGTAGTGAGTAGTGGCAGCAGTGGTAGTGGTAGCAGTCGCAGGCTTTTGGCATGCTGTCGCTGTCGTGTCAACATGGTTGCCCGCTGTCATGAGAAGTAAAGTAGCACGAATTTCGGTCGTGACGGTGACGATGAAGACAAGAATCACAACACCGGTACCGCACCAGAGGGTACGAATTCTTCAACGCCCAAGCTCCTTGGAGGTGGAGACCTGGAAGCTGCGGCTGATCGACTGCTCCTCTAGACTCTAGACACTGTCCTTACTTGAAATTGTCGGAGCCATGATGGTAGTTTCCTGGTTTCAGGGTTGTTAGACTCCCTCGTTTCAGGCTTTCGCTGTCAGGTGTAAGTGTGTAAGACTCACAAGCTCACTTACCATTGGCTTCTATACCCTTGTGGGTAACTAGGGTAACCACGCCAACGAAAGGACAGCCGGCCGCAATTCTCGTCTGTAGTCGCAGGCAGCAGCGACACTTAGCCTTTCAGAACTCATGCTTTATGCTTTGGTATGCAGGTCTTGGCGGATAGAGACGAGACATATCCGTGTGAGATTAGATGTGTGCGATGAAAAATCGTGAGCTGCCAACATGTCGCTGCAACTTTCGTCTCGATATTGACGAAGTAGGAATCATCATCGTGCAGCAAGCCCAAGCACCTGCAACTGGGCACCGTGTTATCCACCGTGCCTGTGTTCTTCCCAGTCAGCAGCAGCTTAGCCGCTCAGGCGTAAATTATTCAGCCCAGGCAGATGTGTTTTTCGGGAACCGATGCCTCAACATCGCCTTTCCGAGTTTAGCTCTTGGAATCAGCTATGCAATATCACCTTGTCTAGCAGCATGGACTTGAGCCGACCAAGACCCTCTATACCTGACATTCCACACTCCAGCCCAGCCCAGAGACCCACCTCGAATCAAGGATTTAGTGCTCGTCGGTTCTCGATGGAAGGTAGCATGCCGTTCGAGCATGTCCATGGAAGAGCCGGCCGAAGCAAGCCCGACAGATCGCGAAGGTGACGAGCCGTCAGAGCCGAGAGCAAAGCGCGCCAAGACCGAGATAAACAAAGATGCGCTGTCCCCGGACGCCGACCCCGACGGGGTCAACGCGCAGCTTGCAGAGATTTTTGGTGAAGATGTTGAGCCGTCAGGCCTGGAAAGAGTCCTAGCAGAAGCCGAAGCCGCGCTTTCCGATGCGGAGTCGGCCGAGAGCTTTTTCGTAGATGAGCCCCGGCTACCAGATGAGGCAGCTGAGTTTGGCATCCCGAAGAGCCAGCTTGACTTGGTCAAGGATATCTTCGGGGACACCTCCGTGTTGAGGCCAATCGTGGAAGACGAGCCAGCTCCCGACGAGGATGTGGTGCCAGCGGCAGTTCATGCTAGCCTTGGCGCCGCCGAGGCCACCGCTGCAGCTGCAGCATCTTCCTTAAAGCGGGAAGGCGAGGCTGAGGACGTGAAGATGCTTCCGGTGCTTCCGGTCATGGATAGCCTTGATCCGGACGTTTTGGAGAAGTCCTACCAGCTGCCGAAGGACCAGGAGTATACGACGAGCCAGGAGCCTGAGCGCTGGCTGCAATTCTACACGTCTGGCCCTGGCGGCGGGAGCTCGCAAGATCGGTCCTGGACCGATGAGGAATACCAGAACGAGGCTCGTTGGCTTTTTCTGCAGCTCTTCAATCCCAAAGGCTATCAGCGTGATCAGACGGAGGACGCCATCATCCTCGTACTGACACACCTGCATGAGCAAAGGCTTGAGATGCTTTACATCATTGAACATCTCTGGTGGAAAGTGTCCAAGGTCCTCACAAAAGAAGATCTCTGGAGCATACAAGAGTTTGACTTACAGTGGCAGCCTCTTTGGACCAGATACCAGCATCTTCAGAAATGGGTCGACAACGTGGAAAAGTTTGGGCAAAACCAACAACTTCCGGACTACATCAAGAGAAAGACCGTGAGAGAGGTTGACGCCTTACGTCCAATGTCTAAATCTGAGTGTCAATGCCGTTGCCTCACATGGGCGTTCATGTTCATCGCTTCAGCTAGCAAACTGTGTACATGTAGCTCACGAAGAAGGCGATGCAGGACCCGGGGCAAGCCCCCCTCCTGGGCCAGCCTGCCATGGATCCACAGTCACCATATCATGCTTGTGGTGGCACTGCATCACAACGGGTGGGTCGGACTTTGTGGTTGTTTCCTCAGCTTCATTGTCCCTTTGATTGGTCGGGGGTGTTTCAGCCGCAATTCTCGGGACAATTGCTTCTTGGATTCCTGACACCTTCGGCGAAGATACTCGTCACGATGTGGCGAGTCTGGGACATAAGGAGCATGTCGAAGCTACGGTTGTCGGGTTTTGGATGCTTGCATCCTAGTCTCGAATGAGATCACAGACTGGCACAGGGACCGGACGGGTCGAGCGCCGGGGGAGCCTGACATGTTCAATAATATTCAGTTGGCATTTCAGGGACATGTTTTCTTCTTGGGAGGGGAGGGGGAAGTGGGGGCAGGGCCCCAAAACTCGGAGTCATGTGACAACCACAGCGCAAGCGCAAGGTTTGGCAGCACCAAGATGCAGAGACTCACCAGAGAGATGCCCAGGAATGGTGGGTCACTCAGCGTCTCTTCGATATTAATATGAAGAGTGGTAGGTTCTTGCCTTCACGGGAGCCTGCTTTTGCCTCTCTCAGTTGCTAGCCCAGGCTGAGCAACTGAGTACCTAGGATTCCGGATGATATAGTAAGTTGACGGATCTGAATCCGAGGAGACGGGCTTGACTGAGGGTTCGCAATGTCAGGATGCCCTCTGCACTTACCAAAGGTAGCATCCTCGTGGTGTTAACGCGGATTATCTTGACTCATGCGAAACTCAGCAGCATGTCTTGCCGTCATTTGTCTCAGGTTGCAGTCCATGCATCCCGCACAAGCTCCATCTACAGGGAGAGAGCTTGGAGCCAAGATGTCGCCTTCTTTCTCTGTTTCGGTTTTGGTTTCTCAGCCTCAGCTTGAGTCGGTGCTGAGCGTGCGGCCAGGCGTAAGCGTAACAGCACCTCCATCGACGCAATCATGGAGATGGCCAGGACTGACCTCGACAAAAGCAGGGTTCAAGGCCTCTCATTCGAGGTTTTCGATGTTCCTTAGACTCCGAATTCTCTCAGAGCTTGTGAAATGCTGAGCCTTGCAGTGTGTAGTCTTGAAGTCATAGTTTGCGTTTGCGTTGAACTTCTCTGAAGTCAGCAAGGTTGTAGACTCAGAATGTGTCTGAAACAACTCCATCATAAGAGACTCTGCAGATCGCACCTGGAACCTGGCTCGTCATTCATCAAATTGCCATGGCGAACTTGGAATGCCTCGAGACATCCAGGAAGGATGCGAGGAGATACGAGTGCAGGAACAGGAAGATACAGTAAGTGCTCAACAGCTCTCCCTTGAAGTCCTCTACTTGTGTACTTGATGAGTGTATATGGTGATTTTGGGATTCCGGGCTCAATTCACCTTTCAGCCACCGGCCGGGAAGTCCAATGGTCCTGAACGAGACTTAGATGTTGAGCCTACTGAATTCTCTGCTGCTCTTCTTCGTCGGAGAGTGCTGGTGGTTTATGGCCTGAACCTTAAGGCCTTAAGGTCTCTGGCCCCCAGGACGAAACCCCACACCCTCAGCTCGAAGGAAATCCAAGTTCGACGAGAAGTTGGGTATCGTGGAGCTTGTGGCTCAGGGCAGAACTTCAAATTAGATCCTCAATGCTTCCCCGAACCCCCCGGGCTCTTGCGGCCTTAAGTCTTACGACCGAAATCTTGAATCTCCAAGGTGTTGCAGAAAGCTTGACTGCCCACTTAACAGGGATTGTGAAGCTTCGAGGCCTTTTCGTGTCTTTGATCAAGGGAACTGAGGCTTCGAGCATCGCCACTATTTGGGTCCTCGTCGGGCTGAGGGAGCACCTGCAACAGAGCCATGAGCCTGGCCCAGGTCCATCGATATCATGTCGCTGCAGGCTTTGGGGATCACGCCTGCGCAGCTTGGGGACAATGTGCAAGCTGAAAAGCGCGGCCCTAAGTTGATCCCAGTCGCGATGATGCTTGAACTAAGTAACTACTCCTACGACTCCTACATCTACTAGGACGACGACGATTGCTACTACTGCTACTGCTGCTGCTGCTGCTACTACTACTACTACTACTACTACTACTACTACTACTACTACTACTTACCACCTGTCTTCTAGTCCTACTACTCCTGGCACTTTACTACTCCTGCTACTCCTACTGCTGCTGCTACTGCTACTGAACCAACCATTCTTACAACAACAACAACTACTACTACTACTACTACTACTACTACTACTACTACTACTACTACTACTACTACTACTACTACTACTACTCCTATTTCTACTACAGTACGGCGAAAACGACGACAACGACGACTGTGATTCGACTGTGCCTGCGCCTGCGTGCCTGCGCCTGAGCGGCTGCCGACGACGGCGACGACTACTACTGCCAGTCCTACTCTGCGTGCTGTTGCTGCAATGGCTGCTGCTTCGACTGCGACAGCGAGCATGAACAAAATTTTTGTGACGAGACGATGGCTGCGGACATAGAATTGTCGAGTCGCAAGTTTGTGGGCTGATTTTTGACGAGTCCGGTAATGAATCATGATCTTGATGTTTGTGCTCAAGTGTTGTTATCGATTCTGTCGAGATGGTAGAGCTGGGTGATATTTACGACGTCGCTTATGACTGGAGTTTGATTCGGATTGTGGATCATGACGATTTGTGCAGATGATGTTGCTGCAGCTCATGGCGAGTGCGAGATGATGCGACTTCCCTCGTTTTCTGTGATGTGAGCACCATGCCACAGCTTCGAGGCAAGTTCATGAGCTTGAGGAGAGCCAGGACAACAAAGACTTTCGGCAGCAATTCCAAGACATATGTTGCATGTTGTTGCGTGCTTGGAGGGTCCTGCATGCTGGGGTAGGGTCAAGCGGCAAGGCAGGGGAACCGGCTGGAGGTCGAGTTTGAAAGGTAACCCTCCAACTTCCCAGCTTCAAAGCCACGCCGACTTGCAAAATTGCCCGATGTGATACGCGGCTAACACATAGCAAAGAGCGATCTGGTGAGAACGGATCGCAGTTGAGTTACCGTCCACCTGAAGTGCCGTCAGACTAGACATTGAAGGAACACAAACTATACTACGCGTTAGCATCAGGTTGTGGTGTAACCTTATCATCGCAGCGGTATGGCACGGTAGCACGACATTCGAATATTGGATAATAGTATAGGGCATTCCCATATACATGTGTGTCACCATGCGGGATGTTCAAGACTGATCTTGGCTGCAATAGTAATGCAATCAGACTTCCAGGTTCGTCAGATCTTGCCTGAAGGCGGCGGTACACCAGGTATTTAGGCCCTTGTTGCAACATGGCCAATGGACTAGGAATGGACTTGCATGCAGCTAGTAACGATTGCACGCAACATTCGCACACTACCCACGGTGACAAGATATTCCAGTGCGTAGGCAGATGACACACTAAAACCCGATATCATGAAGATACGCCCATGAGAACACAGTCGTGCTAGCACAGCTGTAGTACTGCTGCCGGAAAACCACATACGCAATAACACTTCCAGCAGCGGAGATTCGTCGATTCATCGATTGGGTGCAGAACTTGCTGGGGCTCAGTAGGGAATGAGGGAACGAGTTGGCCCTTCGGTTCCCTCGGCAGTGCGCATCAAAAACCTCAACAAAATTGGGGCTGGACATCATGTTGCAACAATGGAGCCTCCGTCTTGAGAGGGGCTAGACAAAGACGCCCTGGAAGTAAAACGAAAAAGTAAGAAAGAGAGCGAGAACCAGGGAGAGAGAGAATTGTCCGAGAGAGGGAGGGAGAGAGACTGCCTGAGAGAGTCGAAGATGAGGCTAATGCAGGCTTTCCTGTGTGTGGTGCCAGCATAGATGCGAAGCAGTGGAAAACAAGTCGAGTACTTAGTTGCATGTATGCAGTTGAACCCTTGGTTTGCGCCAACAGCCTGGAGTAACCCGCTGCAATCGGGTGGATTCAATTGCACAGTGGCCGCGGCCTGCCGGGACGTGGCCCGACCGTGAATCAAACCGAGAAGCGCCATAGCTTGCCGCACGTGAATTGCACGTCGCCAGTACGGTTTGCGTTTCCATATAGAATTGTAGCTTGCCGCCACGGATGATTGGAGGTCCAGACCGTGCACAATTCCGTGACACTGGCGTCCCAGGTCGAAAGCGATTGTCCAGAGGGAGCAAGAAACAACAGGTCCATCGGTGTTTTGATCGCAACACGTGTTTCGGCCAAGAGGTGCACTGCGCAAGAGCCATCGAATCGAAAGCGTTGGGCGCGGACGGGGATGCTGGGAGTATGCCAGGGTGATCCGAACAGTGTGCCGCGATGCAGCGCGTGCCGTGGTGAACCCTCCGAGCGAGCCGCGAGGATAGTATTCAATGCAAGAAACCGACTATGTCACATAGAAGGATCGCATGGTGATACAATGCAAATGATCTCCGTACAGTATCATGTAAATGTTTTGGCTACTTGTCATGATTGTCAAAAGTATTTACCATACACTCAAAAGCAATGCAGCTCTATTTATGGCAGCAATAGTAACGACCTCATGTTCATCGACGTACAGCGAAAAGATGCAGGAAGTGCCCAGCAACATGATATCTGCATGCTTGGCCAGCAGCTACAAGTCAATGTAGTCAAGGAGGCTCTGCACATTGCACAGTATAAAATTCTGCACCACGGGATGGCTCCGGAATCGCAGACAGGTGTACTCTTCATTGCAGACGCTTTTTCACTAATTCGCAGGTCATGCGATCTATCAAAAGCATCGCAGTTTCTGTTCCCGGATCAATGTTTATTCAGTTGGTGATTCGTCCAAGTTGACCGCTGAACCACTGACAGCCCCAGCTTCGAGTTTCTGTAGTGTTCTGTGCTGGACAGAGTCTCTTCAGTTAGCTTTCCAGGCATTGCCTTTCGACGAGATCTGCGAAAGCCATGCGGATCCCAACTTCCACAACGCGCAGGCCAACGACAGGTCAGACAGAATGACTGAGTTGAGCGATGAATCACGTTCGAAGCCGCAAAGCTTGCACTCTGTGCTTCTGGCCGCTGACATACCCGGATGAACAAGACCATGCCCCTTGAAACCCTAACCAAGCCTTGATGGTCGAGGAGCCTAATTCCAAAGCATTGCACAGCCACTCTAAATGTATTGAAGGCGGTGAAAGATGGAGCCCGGATCTCAGGGAAGTCTGTTTGAGCTCAAGCTAAGACTTGGCATGGCATGGTGGGACTAAACCATGGTCGCTTTGTACAACAGAACCAGCTGTCATGCCGAAAATGCGCTTGTTGGCGACCGCGATTCATCGATTTCTATTGCCACCGCCATAACCAATCTTGGCATCTAATATTCTGCAGAACCGGTCTTGCCGCTGGGAACGTAGTAGTACTGTATGTACTGCAAGTGCCGAGCGGCACAACTGCGAGGGTAACATCCATGCTGGGGAAGAGACCTCCAGGAAGCCTCAAAGGGCATCGAAGGGCATTCCCTGAGCAAGTGCAAACGAAACCTCGATCATACCCGAATGAATGCCTCAGCTTTGGCCTGAAGCGGCTAGACAGAAGACTGAAGCCAATGCAACGGCAGCAGAAACTACTGGCAACGACGACCCTAACGACAAAGACGACGTCTACACTAGAAGCAGCAGCACCGCCACCGCTGCTAGTTGCTACTGTCACTAGTGCTGCTACTGCTGCTACTGCTGCTGGTGGCTCTTGTGCTGTCGCATTGAGCAGCTGTCATAGTAGCATAGAGCCACAAGTACGAACTGCTAGGAGTAGCTGCAGAGGCAGTGACAGGTGTCTAGCGCATGTTCTCCTTGGAAAGATGCTCTTTTCTTTGCTCAGATCACCACCTTTCTTGTCCGACTGATCGCCTCGGAGCCGAGAGTTCGCAGCTACGTGCGCCAGGTCGGGCTTGAGTGAGACATTCAGGGCTTGTGCGCAGACGCATTGGGAGGTTTAGATATTTCAGGTTTCGGGTTTCGATTTAGTGAGGTTTGGGCGCTAGACTATCCTGAAACATCCTGGGATGCAACGTCTTAAGTGCGTTTCTTGCATGGAAACTTGCAGTGAGCTCTTCCGAGGCCTCATTCGTCCAGGTTTTCTCTAGGCTTGCCATCGCTGACTCCAGAAGCCACCTCCCGAAGCTCAGATATGGAGTTTTACTAAAGGTAGGCTTGTCGACATTGTGGAAGTATGGAATGACGAGGTTAGGCCGTGGGCGCCCAGGCTCTTAGGCTTGAGATGCATTCGGAGCAGCAACACCAACACCAACACCGAATCAGCCGACAGTCATGGACAAGACGTTTTGCACTGTAGCACACTCGAAAGGTATGCATCGCTGTAAAGGAGCATGCCTCGCAACAAAGATTAGTATCGCCCCCTGATCCGCCTGGCTTGTTTCACCGTTGTCATTTAGCAGGAAATGTGTACGTTCTCCGTACGGCTAAAATCAATCCTCAGCTCCGACGGAAAGCGAAACCGCAGCCCGAAAGCTCAGTCGAGGAGTTCTGGAAGCTCTGCGCCGTTTCGGCTAAGGTCACAGAGGCTGGAAGGTCTCGGGACAGCTCTGTGATTTCGCAGTGGGCTGTGTATGACTTGCGTGTGGAACTCGCCTCGGGTTCGGGTGCTGGAGCAAGAAGGTTAGATACCTAGTACCTCTGCGGACTGCAGCGTCTGTTTAAACAAAACACTTCTGCTGATGAAGTTGTTCGTTGCCACTACTATTACTTAAACGTCGTTTTGTCTGCACTTTGTATGTTTCACATTCACTCTCCCATAGCCGTGAGCACTTGAACCGTTTTGCTTTGTTTCTGTTAATCATGTTTTGTTGCCTGGTGTCTTAGCTTACGTTAAAACCTCCCTCCTTCCGTTCTGTTCTTCCATGGTGTCACTGTCAGCATGTGTCTTCTTCTTCCATAGTTATTCACACTGCCCCATTGCTTTTTGCATTAAACAGTACCAGAACCTGTGCTTCTGAAACACGACGTTTTAAAAACTGCAGTTGCTAATTCGAGTTAGTCCATTGATTCTAGGGCTTTTCCCTTCTTGCTCCGCCAAGTGCTGGGTGCTTTATCGTTTATACTGCTTCTTCAGGGTGTCATTCTTTTAGCTTTCACCAGTCGTATGAAGCATGCAGGTTCTTCTGCTCCTAGTCTTAATAATCGTCCGCCTCGTCTTGCACTCGTATCGTAGTTCTTGTAGAGCCAATTGCTCTTAACTGCCTCGTTGCCCTGGATTCTGCATTTACTTGGAGTGCCATGAGGAAGCACTCTTCTGACGCAGTACTAGAAAGTGGCTGTCATATCGCACTGTTCTGGGTATGACGTTCTGCAGTGAATCCTGCGACTTCGGAGGTTTCAATGGTTGCTTGGATGTGCAGATTTCTCGAGTTTTTGCGCCGTTCGGGGAAGCGCTCGGTCGGGACTCCTCATGTCGGTTTAGGGTTTACGGTTGGTGTTGCGCTCTCCTGTCGAACTTCTGTGTGTAATGTTGGGGGCATGGGCGAGGATGGGGGTATGGGTTGGGGGGAAGATGACGTCCGGATATGAACATCTGATGTGAAGTGATGCGGATGCTGTGATGTGCTGTGATGCGGTCTGTTGACATTTGCAATGACTTGTTTTCGCTTTTTTCCTTCCGAACAAAGCGACAATTCGAGCATCTCGCTAGAGAAAGAGATCTTGTGCTTGCGGAGATTTTCCTACTCCTCGTATGGGGTTACTGAGTGTAAGGTTCCCTGGGAGTTCGTGTTGAGTTAACATGTGTTTGGCACGCGATGATCCTCCTCCTCACAATGCAGCATCTTTAGTGTTTCAAGCTTTTGTGCCGCATAGGTACTTGGACTCTATGAGCTACTGGCTCCGTTGAAAGTGTTCCCGAAACGAAAAAGCTGCACCATTCCAGCCGCTCCCTCTCGAGGATCGTGCTCCTCCTGATGACGAATCCCCCAATTTGCTGACACCGCAGTTTTGCGCACTTCTGAGCCTCGACACCGACAAACACGCATACAAAATCTCAGGAGTCACTCAAGAACATGTCACCTTGTTTTGGCCTTCCCTGTTGTTGTTAATCAATGCTTTCGTTGCGCTTGGGCCAACGGTTCTTGCACTGTGCTATTTGTGACTCGCACTGGTGCAGCAGTTTGCAGGCTTGTATCACCCTGGCTATTCTTATTCCTCCTACTACTGTTATGCCATGCTAGCGCCTCGTCTTGCCCTTTTCTGTCTCTGCTTAACCACATATCGCATCTGAGTCGTTTGGGCTAGTGCCTTTGCTAATGTTGGCATCATCGTACACTACTGACTACCGCATACATTATTGCTAAGATTCACCCTCATACGAGAAGAGCGCCTACACTTCCCGAAATAGCACACCTTCATTCTTACTAAATACCTTACATACCTGTAATATTTCACGGGTGCTGCCGCACTGGTTGGTGTAGTACAACATACGAGAGCTGCCTCTGTCAAAAAACGCTCCAGGCCGGCAAAGCCCTGGCTAAGGAAGCTTCACATTCCTTCAAGAAGCCGGCGCCCAAGCCCTTTGAGATCGTTTCAGGGCAGGGTTGAGATTGTAAAACTCATGGTTTGGGTCTATATCTATATCTGAAGACACATACCTGTATCGATCTACCTACTTACCTAGCTGCCTGCCTGCCTAACTACCTACCCATCTACCCCTCTATCTACCTATCTGCCTATCTACCTTTGGATCGGTTTTCTACCTACCACCTATCTATGTACGTATCTGTATCTCGTGTACCGACCTATCTCTGTATGTGTGTATGTATCTACTTATGTATCTACCTGCATCTGTCCATCTACCTATGTACCGTTCTATTCTACTTGCCTATATATCTATTTGCCTATATATCTATTTGCCTATCTTTCCACCTATCCAGGTATCCACCTATCCACCTATCTACCGATCTTTTCATCTATCTACCTATCTATCTTTCGATTCAGGTGTCTACCTATCCACCCATCTATCTATCTAGATAGCAGCTAGCTATTCTTGTGCATTGCTTGGGTTGGTGCAATGAGTTTCCTGCGCTCGTAAACGGCTCTGTGTTTGCAAGATCGTAACGCTCAGGATGTACCGGTCCTTTCACGTCACCTACAGACCCGAGTTGGCCTCAGCTTCACTGACAGAGACGTCTTGGGATCTCCAGAGGGTGTTCGTTCCAAAGGGCGTCCCCTCCAGCAGCCTTGGACTCGAATACTCCTTCGCGAGTCGTCAGAGTGCGCCAGGTGTCGAAGTTCGACGAGAAGAGCAACCTCTTCTTGGAGATGCTCCAGCTTCAGCGCAAGGCCGGGTTCAAGGGATGGAGGTCGCCCCCCCCTGCAACGCTGGGCAACAGCATGGTGTGCTGCCAGACTTTTTGGAGATGTCCTATGTCGGCTGCCGAAGCCAAGCCCCAACAAAGGTTTTCGTCGTCAGTACAAACATAGGAGAGTGTTCGAACTCTGTGCTTGAGGTTTGCGCCTGGTGAGGGGTGTGGTCAGACCACGCCTCTGGGCATTTTCTTAGGGTCTGCAAGCGGCCTTGGAGCAGACGGCGATCCATTTTGGAATGTTCGGCACCGGCGAAATCCCAGACCCCACCTGTCGAGGCAAACTGCATGCCATGTCATGCCCATGCACACGCCAAGAAGTGGCACAAGCTGCCGCCTGCAAGTCCTAAGTCCTTTGTGAGACACCCGTTGGAGACCGCATTTAGGGTCTCAAATGGGCATTCCCCAGAGGCCGCACAGCTTGATGGGAGATGTGCACTCCGAGACAGGAGACCCAAAGAAACTCTCTCTCAGCGACTCAGCGCGAACATCGCAGCAATCGGATATAAGCATCTCTTCATCTCTTCAGAGTACTTCACGTTCGGGGAGTTTCTGTGCTGGCTTGTGCTTGTCGACTCCAACTTCCGCTCTGGAGGGGATGATCACGATCGACTATGATCTCGTGCAAATGTCAGCTGGACGCTCAGAGCTTCGACAAGATTTTGAAACAGATGCCAAGCTCGCTTCACATTTTGAAAATCCTACTATGCTGAAGACAGCGACGATGATGGTGATGGTGGTAATGATGGTACAACGACCACTTCCGCTTCCATTATCACCACACTCTTTGTTGCCACGACCACTACCAGTACCACTACTAATGCTGCTACTACTACGCAGTGCTACGACGACAAGACTGCTACTGCTACTGTGCCACTGCCACTGCAATGCTACTGCTACGTCCACCCCTGCTCCTCTTTCGACTCCTCCTCCTACTACTACTGCTACGATGATGACGACGACGGCTACTATTACTACTACCAGAAGGATCCAACTCTCATAAAATCTACACCTCCCGGTCCGAAGACCCCGCAAGCGGAGGTGCAGCTCTCACTCCTGTGGAAAGAACAAAAGTTGTTTCAGTAGATGACAGTGATCGGCTAGAGTCGCCGAGAAGCTGCTCGCTGCAGGACGGGGACTACATACCCACAGGAGGAGAGGTCCTGCAACCCCAGGTTAGGGACCAGGGCAGAGCACATACAGAAAGGCATGAAAGTTGCGATAGTGCTGGGCTACGATGACTACCACTACTACTACCACCACCACCACCACCACCACCACCACGACCACTACTAGTACTCCTACTCCTACTCCTACTCCTACTCCTACTCCTACTCCTACTCCTACTCCTACTACTACTACTACTACTACTACTACTACTACTACTACTACTACTACTACTGCTACCACAACAGCAACAACAACTACTACTTCTGCTGCTGCCCCGTCGACTACTAATTATGACTGTGACTATGAACTTGTCGCCTCGGCGTTGAGGCGTATATGTGCTGCACACATGTATCAACTGCCTCCCGAGGATGACTACGATATGCGTGTTGCTTCTTGGCTGCAGCTGCCTGTTGAAATGCAGAAGACGTGCTCATGAAAATGCGGACTCCGAGCAAGCTTCTGCAGGTTGTCCCGTGCACCGGCCGTGGAGACAGGGGAAGGCGCCAGACGGTGATTGATAGCATCTGCCACCGGACAGCACGCTTGCGCCGTGTCAGGCTCAAGCAGACATTTACAGCTCACTGCAAGAATCGAGACCCGCATTGACCTCAGAGCAGATGGGTCGAGCAGGTAGCCGATTTCATGCAGCATCAGTGCCCCAGCGGAAATCCCCAGAACCTTTCTGCCACAGGAATCAGGCTCCTGAAGGTGAGGACGCAGAGAAAATGGCAGATTACCACAAACTGGAGGAGGGCTTCAATGAAGCAGGGATCTGGGAAACATGGAGACTCCGGTAGCAGAGGGCTCCGGCACGTTGCGCCGCAGGTATATATCCAGGTAGGCTTTGTCCCCGCAGGGTGAAATTTGAGACGCATTGGGGTCCTACGAGCCCTGCCGCCCCGTTTGTTTAGCTCTAGTCTATGCCTTGGTATTCGGACGAATGCAACAGACTCGAAACCCTACTGTTGCAGGGCCGGGGCCATCATGTCGGGCACGAGCAGCTCTGAGCCATGTAAGATGTCGGAGCCCAGAGTCAAGTGTTGAAGGTCTAGTAGGGTTTTTCCTGAACAAAATTTGTAAGCCACACCACAGAGCTGGAGAAGCTGAAAGCTCGACATCGGCACGGCCTCACGACCCTCGACCGAGTTGATGCACTGCGGTTTTGCAACGATGGTAGTCTGTTCCCTCTTCGCTCCGCATGCCTGAAGCTTTGCACCGAGCACCCGGACAGCTTCAACTGGAAGACCCCTCGCACATCCCGAAACCACTGCAACACCATGCTGGTACTGTGGCGACAGGGCAATCCGACACCTTGGCGCGGTGAGACACTCCGCCTAAAGCGAAAGCGAAAGGCCAAACAGTGTGGCCCGGAGCGCCACTTAAGAACTGCGAGAGCAGACAAATCTCAACAACAGGAATGTGCCGATGCAAGGCCGCGACATGCATCATGCTGCAAGGTGTCGAACGACAAGCAGCGTCCGTCAGCATACTGCAAGCCTGAATGCCAGTGTGTTTTTCAGGTAGCTTGGCATTTGTTGGGGTGCAGCTTCTGGGTCCTTCAGCACGAGCCCCAAAGTTCAAGACCAGAAAATTGCTTGAACCCTGAAGCTTCAGTCCCAAGCCTCAGCGCCGCAGGATCTCATCCCGAAGATGGAGGCGGCGGCGAAGTTGAAGGAGGTCGGAATCGACAATTTGCCTATTTGTGCATGTACTTTTCAAGCCAGCTGGTTTGTGGGGGAGAAAAAGTGTGTGTGGCGCATGTATGCAGCGAAGATGGAGAAATATGGCGAAGCTGAAACGTGCTCGTCACAGAAGGAGAAGGAGGAGGAAGGCTAGCAGACTGGCAGCAATGACAGCGAATACTCTTCGTTGTGCAGTTTCATGTCGCGGCATTCATCTCATTCTCCAGCCCAATACGGAGAGATGCAGCCATACGGACATTGCTGAACTTTGACACGCGCATATATGCGTGTATACTTTTTTGTTTTGTGCGCGCCAACGTGTGTGTGTGTGTGTGTATGTCCTATTCTAGTATATGTCCAGCATGGTGCCAAGACAGGACAACATAGTGGTATCTTGCATGATTAGTTGTGGCCGATACTCTCAAAACTTGTCGTGCCTCTCTGCCAGGCACACAGCCGCCGGCGAAGTTCTGGGGATGACCTGAAGTCACAGGTGCGAAGCGCCCAGGTTGACTTGAGTTCCGAAAGGAGGCAGGTCTGGTGCATTTGTATTTGTAGCGCCCCCTCCCGCTGTCGGCATCAATCCAGTGGTCTCTGACCAAGGAGTGTTTGCCGCTGTGCTACCTGGCACTGGTAGTAAAGGATGGAACCAACTCAACCAGGGAACTGAGGACGGGGGGGGCGTTCTTGGTGCAGGCCTTGGAAAGAAGTCTCACTCTCGTAGCAGCAAACGTGCGGTAACTGCAGTGTGATGCTAGCAGATGAGGGCGGCAAGGGCCACAAGCAAATACGTGGTGCGGAAGATGAAAACGAGCAAGAAGTGACTTCCGCATCTTGCCACGTCGGGAACCCAGGCGATTCTGACTGTAGCTACCCGAAAGCTCTTAAGCACTATCCAAATTGCCTGGATCGCTTATGACTTCCGCAGTCCCAATCAGCCAACAACATCTTCATCATCTTCTAAATCCCAAGAGCCTGGAAGACTCCTGGTCGTTCGGAGGTAACTGCATCCTTCCAGCAGCACGCTCGGTTCTGGGCGCGGGGCTGCCATTCTTACGTACGGTTTCTGCGGATTCACCTTGCTAGTCGTTCTTCCGCTGCGACTGCGACGCCACGATTTGTTAAGCCGTACTGTGCATCTTTCAGGTGTGCTGGCATCAAGTTTGAAGGCGATGCCCTGTCCGAATTCATGGCGTTGCCTGCTCAGACCTGGAAGCCTGGAGCCGTAGCTCCTGAACCCTTGAGTTCTAGACCGGATGCAGCTGGAGCCTTTCTTTCATCGGCAAGCTGCTGCTTTCTTGGCTGACTCCCGCTTCTCAGGTTCGATCCCATCTTCGAGCAGCTCTCCCTGATGTACTGTGTGACACTGGCACCTTGGCTGCTGGTGTTGAAGCCTTGAAATAGAAAATCCCAGAAATCTCCATCCTGAGTAGCCTTCGGGCTTCGATGATGTCACTCAGCAGAACTCGGAGCGAGCGAGTTGCTTGAATACAGAGTCGCCTGGTGCGGCTGTCCCGTTCTGAGAATGTCAGAGACCCCACAGCCCTAACGTTTCGAGGCAGAGGGCGACGACCGAAGAGTTGTCAACGAGACAGCCTGGAACCGCACCCGCAGGACTGGGCGAAAGCTCCCAACGTCTACTGGCTTGATGCTGGTTTCGTCATTTAGGCTGTGGATGTTTGACGCGGCTCCCTGGCTATTGCGGTGTTGACTGAGTGGTCTTCGGAGCAACTTCCCGGTGCGGAACGTATCCTCCGAAGCCGTGTCAGAACCCTGTTCTCCCCAACTGCATACATCCATGAAAGGACCTTGACATGTATAATCTTGATAATGTTGAGAATGACCGTCGTAAACATCATCATCGTCGTCATCATCATCGTTGTCATCATGACTGTTATCATCACGGTTATCAGTGTCATCATCGTCTTCATTATCATCAGCATTACCATTATCATAGCAATGTGGAATTTGGCATGCTTAATTTGCTTCTGCGGGGGGGGGGGATCTTGATGCTGATTGATGTTACTTCTCTGGCATCGCTATTACAACTAGTGATACATTACTTAGTAATGTTCGTGGTGGTGGCAGTGAAATAGAAGGAGCAGGCGGCAAGAGCAGGCGGAGGAGGAGGAGGAGGAGGAGGAGGAGGAGGAGGAGAGGAGGAGGAGGAAGGAGGTAGTCGTAGTCGTAGTCGTAGTCGTAGTAGTAGTAGTAGCAGTAGTGGTAGTCGTAGTAGTAGTAGTAGTAGTAGTAGTAGTAGTAGGAGTAGGAGTAGTAGTAGTAGTAGTAGTAGCAGTAGCAGTAGCAGTAGCAGTAGCAGTAGCAGTAGCAGTAGCAGTAGCAGTAGCAGTAGTAGTAGCAGTAGCAGTAGCAGTAGCAGTAGCAGTAGCAGTAGCAGCAGTAGGGGCAGGGGTAGTGGTGGTCGTGGTGGTGGTGGTGGTGGTGGTGGTCGTAGTGGTTAGTAGTGGTAGTAGTAGGAGGAGGAGGAGGACCAGCAGCAGGAGCAGCAAGAGCAGGATGAGGAGTGTCTACATAGTATCAATTGAGCCAGCCCTCATGATCGAAAGCCGAAACCACGACACTCGGCCAAATGCGCCTCTGAAACAGGCGCAGTGCCAAACAAACCTGTCAGAGGTGCGCAGGGATAGGTTCTGCTCGAAATCAAAGGCAGAAGGGCGCTTGTACAGTGCCATTCTCTTGGACAACCTTCATCATGAAGAAACTCGCCAGCCGAGCTTTGTCGGTTTTTTTCTTGCTGTGACCGTTTCACTTCCGCGTTCGAATCCTCTTCAAGCTTCCCACCTGCCTCTCTTGTTGTTCACGCAGCCACAGCTGGCCTTGCACGAACAGTTAAACATGCAGAAACGTTTTGGCTTGGGATGAGATGGTTGCCGATTAACCCAGCCGCTTTCAGGCGGAATGACAGTGTCAAGCGGAATCTTGCATCGAAACCGGCAAAGGTCCAGTAGTTTAGGGCCAGTGCAGGAGCATTTTGAGGAAAGTGCTGATGGAAGAGCCGGAATCTCATGCTCAACGAGTCCAGGTCGTTGCGGTTTGAGTCGGTTTGAGCAGTTTGAAGCAGCCATGGTAGCCCACATGAAAGAACTCGGAAGTTCAAGCTGTGCAGCCTACTGAGATTCCGCGCTGCACAAGGTTGTATCCGACGATGTGGGCGGAAGTGAAGGCTATGTTTAGGGCTCATGGTTGCGGGTCTTCTCAGTTGTTGTCTGCGGTGAAGATTGGGCTAGGCAAAAACTCGACTGAACCTCAGTTTTGAAGGAGTGAAGCCGATCTTGGAATTGTCCAGCTTTGAGCCTTGTCTAACCCTTCTGTCCAAGAATGGGTTCCTCTCGCAGAGATCGAGTTTTGCTACAAGTGAAGGGAGTAGAAGTTTTGGAGGGAACCTTGTGGTTCAGGCATTTCAGGCCCCGAGGCCTCCAGTGAAGAGATGTGCCTCGGCCGAGCAGGACCACCTTTCCAGGACAGCCAGTGCAGTGGTTTGTCGCGACATCCGAGAAAGGCCCTGCAAAGACAGCAAGTCACATCCAGATTTACGGGGGTTTGTTTCGAGTTCGATGTGCAGCCCTGCTGTTGATGTTGACTGGATGTCCCGAACAACATCAGTTGGTTTGTAGTGTTGTTCACTGCTTCTAGCATGCACCAGCTTGGAGATTCTGAACCTGCTGGCTGACGCACGAGTGCTTCTCATGCTCCTGCTGTGTTGGATGGCGATGAGAATGATTTTTAGGCTCCTTGCTGCGACGGTTACGTAATACAAGGTATGACAAGTCTATGCGATGATTGTGGCTGTGGTGGCTGTGGTGTTCAGGCTCACGAAGATGGTTGACGTCAAACCTCCCCCGGACACAGACAAGAAGTTGGACGAAGCGGAGGATAAAGTGAACGAGCTGAGACAGGCGGGGCATCGGGAGTTGGTGCGTGGGGGCATTGCAGATTGTGGGGTTTTCAGAGGACTGTTCAGGCCTGCAGATACAGGCCAAGGGGCGAAGAGGAATTCAACCCTCAAAGCATGGGTGCTAGCCTCTATTGTTGCAACTCCTTTTGTAATTGCTGTCATGATTCCTCGTTTAAGTCTTTTAATCCATTTCTGGAAGTCTCGGTTCCTACATCGTTGTAATAGCGACGAGTGGCCGCAGCGACGAAAGACGTGGAGCGGAAGGAGGAAGAAAAGGAAGAGAACGAGGAGGAGCAGGGGCGACGATCGACCAGTGCAGCCACCACCATCAGAACGACTGGCACCACACTCCGACGAGCGCAAGGACAAAAGCAGCGCTTGACATTCAACCGTAAATACTATTGGTCCTTGATCGTTCACTCGCTCACGTTTATCGCCAGGACTGTTTTCTGATTGCGCTAGCATGGCGAACATGAATTTGTCACAAGGGTCATCGCCATGGTCAGCTTGTACATGATTTGTAACGATCTGTTGCGCATTGTGGGTGCTTTTGTGTGCCTCGTTTATCAGCGAACCGGTGGCATCAACGGCATCAGCAGCCAGGGGCAAGGGTCATCACGATGATCCTCAGACTCAGTGTCGTTGCCGTCCGGGTTCGATATTGTCGAGGCCCGATTATGGTGAAAAGAGCACAAGGTGCCAGCCAACAGCTGTAAAGAGCCTCCAGTCTTCTCATGATCTCATCGCCGAGGACTCCGACGACGAGGCGGCGGCGCAGCGAAAGCGCGAGGCTGGCAGGGAAACCATAGGCTAAGAGGTTAGAGCCTTTAGGGGTTGAGACTTTGAGGTTTAGGCCTTCAGAGAGCATTATGGAGTGGAGTGCGCGTTGCCTTTTTGTGCATGCCTGAGGCCTGTAGCATCATGTAGCTTTCCACCCGTCGGCTGCATGCGATTTCGCATTTTTGCTTGAGGGTATCGGGTTGAGGGCCTGAGTATGGTAGGGGCCTCGAGCTCCATGTTTCAAGATTTGGACGAAGCGTTGTCGCCAGCCAGTGCTCCCCTGGGTATACGACACATTAATATCTGGGATAGATTGGGGTAGTGTAAAGCATAGATCCCCCCCACCCCGCCATCCTTCATCCTGAACCACCCCAAACACAAACGAATGTGCGCATCCTAAAAACTACGTATACTTGGGTCAGGATTTGAGAAAAAGTTTCGTTCACACAACAGTACGGGCTGGAATGTCTAAACAATTGGGAACTGCAGGTAGTGGACGCACCACAAACATAATATGCAGTTTTCTTGCACAACAAATAGTGGTAAACCGGTCGGGCTGCGTCATGATTTGGTACAGCATTATGGCAGAGGTTGAAACAGGACTGAAGCCAACTGGAGGGACTGCACTCTGGTTGAAGCATGTTTAGTGTCAGCTGATCTACGTTGTTGTGGCTATGTGTCGAGTGTAGGGGCCGAACCGGTGAAGAGGTGCACGCTGGACGCAACTGGACCTGCAGGGTTATGATCCATGATTGTATCATTATAGCGTGATGAGTGTACGGCTGGCTCATAGCCGCGATACTTGTCATGATGCACTGACTACCACTTGGTGGGATCGACTCATGGTGACGAGGTGCTCGTAGAGTACAGCAAGGTGCAGGTACTTGTTGCCAGAGCGATTTTAGATTCTGGCCAGCCATGATTGATTGAATTCCGCACTCCGAGAAACCTGGGCAGGATCCGAGCCTCTGGGAGAAGGAGCGGGATGCCCGCAAAGCAGGTCTCCACTCGGCTCTGGTGATCCTCCCTGAGGCTGGCACTCGGTGCATTGGTGCACTGCTGAGTCTTACGGCGGCGTGTGTGGCAGGGGCTAAGCTTAGACAAGCCATGGCTGGTGCTCGGACATGTCTTCGCTGATAGTCACAATGACCGATCCGAATCATCAACACTTCGAATCAATCATGATCAGAAGGACAAGTGTAGTAGCATCGGGATGAGGCTCCCGCTACAACAAAAATGGATCTGGTTGTCCGGTGCAGCCGAGATTCGCAGAGTAGCTTGATTCCTCCCAGCAGTCAACGTCGAGGCAAGGCCAGAAACGCAAGGATCAGTTCGAGATATCGACAAAGTGCACACAGAGGAGGTGGGCAGGCGGAGGAGGCATGCACTCGCGAGATGATTGATGTCCGGCATCCCGAGCACGGTGGAATCCGTTATGCTTGTGAAGGGCAGCCATTCTCAAACGCTGAATCTGCATTGACGGCTTCCAACAGAAAGCAGCAACATGCTGCCAACGGACCGTGAATCTCGAATGCCAAGTCTGCCGCTGTAGAATCTGTAGAGTCGCACACGTCAAGCCGAACGTTCGGACTGATACTGAGGGCTGTAAGGGTGTAGCATTCCGCTCCCGGAGCTGCAGGTGTTGGGTTTTGAGCTTTGCAATCCCAGAAGGTTTGCAAACGGCACACTGAAACCCTGGAAGGTTGGCTTAGCCGTGGAGACAGCCATTGTGGGCTTCGTGAATGCTTTCGGCTAGATCCTCAAGAATGATTTGCCTGGTGTGTTTGGCACCGCTATTTCTCATTATTCTACTGCAAGAGACCAATCTCCTATCAAGAAACATAGACTGCTCAGGTCTGGGCATGGGTCGGTGTAGGGAGGACTAGACCCTGGAACCTGGACTTGTAGGGAGGATGCAGTACGCAAGGCCGCCCACTCCCGAGAAGCAGAGATGTCGTACAATCGCCAGACAGTTGATTGATTGTCAGGTTTCAATCTTTAATAAGAGCGAGCGGATTGCCCAGGTGAACCAGTTGACATGAGACAAGTCTTCAAAAGCCTTGCCTGCACAGATTTTGACCGATGTGGTTGGCGAAGATTTCGGCGACTAGTTTGATTTCATGGTTGGGGGTTGCAGGTATGCTGGGTTTACACTCATGGAATAGAGGCACTGGGGCCTTCAACAGGGTTTCGGGTTCTCAGCGTGGGTAAATCTTGCTGGCAGAGGCATGTGGGATGATTTCTTTGCGTTTGGGGTCCCTATGAGCTGCAAACGCTTCGGCATGCATCATGCCGAAACAGCTGCTGCCTCGCTTTCCGTCTTCATCCGGAGCCTTAGAATCGTGCCGTTTTTCTGTGGGCACCACTTGCAACATCTTCCCGTCTGACACGCACTCGGAAGTCATGTTGAAAACAAGCTTGAAGATGTAATCTTCAACAGCCAAATTGTTCTTCTGTCCAACATGCTGGTGCATGTCTGCATATACCGTTGCCGCTCACAGAACGGGGAGATATCTGGCCGAGAAGGCTGACATGTAGACATTCCACCGAAAATCTCTGGTCTGAACTGAGTCACGAATCCCACTGACAACAGCAGCGCAGAAATGCCCCCGACTTTTTTGGTGACGTGGGTCGAGCCCACCTCCAGCGTCCCCAAACCTCTTGCTATGATTTTTTCTAGTGTCACAACACCATGTGCTGAGCCTCTGCACAGTAAAAACGGTTGAAAGAGCAAAGCCACAAAAGAAAGCAGAAACGCAACATCAATCTCAGTTAATCGCTTCCCCCATTTCTTAAACACCCCCTAATAATGAACACACTTTGGGGCCTATCCTCCCGAAAGCACCCCTGCCCTTCAAAACCTAATTTGCATTGGGGGGTCCGGAGCAAGAGCACGGAAGGGCGAGACCTGGAGTAAGAGCAAGAGTAAGAGCAAAAGCAGGAGGAAGAGCAGTAGCAACAGCAAGAGCAGGCGCAGGAGCGAGAGCGGGAGCAAGAGCCCTTAAAAGTGGCAGCAGCGATAACAATTCCCCCTAATCATGAAAACACTTGTCCGAGTTTCTATTAGACAGGGGACCCCCCCATCCGTTTAATCGTAGGGGGATGGGATTACTGTGCCTCAGTACGTTTGCTGCGCTGTTGGCACACGTGCATGTGCAGCAACTTGCAGAAACCCGACAGGGGTGAAATGCACTGCGGTTCAGTTGGCGGGATTGCTTGGTTGGTTGACGGCTGGCTGGGAATTGCACTGTTTTTTCTCTCTAACGCTAGAGGCGTTTGGCGCTTTTTCGTGCATGGGCAGGACAAGGGGTCCTTTTCCACAGTCTCGAAAATTTGGTATTCCGTGTCGCTCGCTATGTCCACTGCAACCTTGAGTTGCAAACCCTGAGCAGAGATTGCTTTGCTTTGCCTTGGCCTTCGGAAAAGGATTTCGTAGTCACCAGCAGTGGCCTCTACCAGCGCTGCTCAAAAATCATGCGTAGCCTGTAGCCTTGACAGCGTGCAGAAGAGGATACTCCACCTGGCCAGGTTGCCTGAAGATCCAGCACAAGGAAAGCAGGTATGAGAAAGGGAGTGGCGGACCAAGCATTGTGTTACGGAAAAGGTTACCAGTGGCAGTGTTTTCAGTTGCTTTTCATAGCTTGGCCGCTTGCCTTACGACAGCGGGAATGTACCGTGACCAGCAGCCGACGGGTGTATCTGCCATGCAATCCACCGTCAGCATTGGCATTCTTCAACGGTTGCCACTCCGGGAAGTGATAGAAGGTGTGTTTCTGTGTTCCGTGACTTGTGCCTACGGCTTGGTTTAGTTAGTTCAGGGATTTGAAGCCAAGAACCTATATTTCAGAGTCACCGTCCCAGGTTTCAACTACGACAAGGATCAGGTGATTTTGGAACACAAGGTTGCAGACTCAGGGCGAACTGATGTTGACCGTGATGCCCTGATTTCATCGTGCAGGTGCTGCGTTCGAACAAGGGCTTTGTCCCTTCTGTGACAGGATACTTAACAAGTACTAGTAAGTCTTCACAGCGACCCGACGGAACTAGCAGTCTCATCGGACGTATGTTCCGATTTGAGGTGCTCGACTTGAGACCATGGTCCGATAACGCCCCAATGACCCTGCACCGTACAGCGGACACGTTGCCTTGCAATCAGAACCACAGCACTGGCTGGGTGCAGGGTTTTAGATTGCACAAGGGACCTATGGCCCAACAATCCTTCGTTGTGTTGTTGGTGCCCAAAAGGAGCAGGGGTGCAAGACAAGTACCAGCAAGGGCACCCAGCAGCGCAAAACAACAGTGCTACCAGCGATCGTCGGCTGGATTGTTCGAACTACCTTGGCACGCACCAGGTGAACGCATCTCCAAAACTTTGTCGAACCTCTGCAAAGCTAGCATGAATGCCACCATTCATCGATTCCAGGCTGTCGTCGAGAACATGATTGCAACCCACAAGCCTTCCGTTGTCCCTGGCTCGGGAAACTTCGGATGCAGTCTTCCTGTCAACTTCTCGCAGTGCCGCCCCTTTCAGAATGGGTGTTTGGCAAGGTTTTGATGAAGCGCCGTGTTCGTTGATACAAGGAAAATCATCTTCTTAAACCCTAATTCTGCTTTGATTCGTCTGTTGTTGAAGTGTTGACGTCATGCGGACTGCTAGATCCTGCTGGCGGTCACGGATCCGGAAATCATGCGCTTGAAGGCAGCCTGCAAAGCTCACGGTGTTGGCGGCATGCATTTGAAATATCACCATTTGAGGCGTGCGTAAGAGATCGTAAGAGTGACCAATCACAACAATCGGTGAAGCCAAAAGGTTGAAGATCCGACATCTCAAACACGATGCTGCAGGTCTCTACGTTAAGTCAATAATTGCCTGTGGCAGCCGACTCCAACCTCCCTGAAACCTCGCAGGCATCCGTGGAAAATTTGATTAACCGCGAGCAGAAGATCGTGGTGGGATCCCAGGATCGTGAGAAGTTTAAGCTGACGGCTGAAGGGTTCGGGTGCGTTCGGGTACTTTGCCTTGGTCCATAACATGCCCAGCAATTTCGGCGAGGTGAGTCTTCTTGCTAGTCCAACGGAACGGGCTTGTGGAGGATGGAGGCTTGTGACCGCGGTAGATCAAAGTGGCGAGGTTATGCTTGTCGCAGAGTGATTGTACGATTGGATGGTGTACAAGAGACGACGTAGACTCAAACCCACCAGACTGAAAATATTAATCGGTTTTGCTGCAAACGTTGGTTCTTGCAGACTTAATTCGTCTTCTTGCCACCAGGATGTGTTCCGCATGTTTCCAAGAGTTCCACCTTTAAGCTGAGGCAAATCTGAAAGTGTTGCCGAAGATCAAGTTCGTGGACCCCACTGTGTGCGTGACCCAGTGACCCAGTGTGCAAGGGAACCGTGGCATGTAATGTACTGCTACTGCCACTGCCACTACGACGACGACGACTACTACCACTGCTACGACCACCACCACCACCGCCACCACCACCGCCACCACCACCACCACCACCACCACCACCACCACCACCACCACCACCACCACCACCACCACCACCACCACCACCACCACCACCACCACCACGACCACGACGACGACGACGACGACGACTCTGCTACTGCTACTGCTACTGCTACTGCTACTGCTACTGCCACTGCCACTGCCACTGCCACTGCCACTGCCACTGCCACTGCTACTGCTACTGCTACTGCTACTGCTACTGCTACTGCTACTGCTACTGCTACTGCTACTGCTGCTGCTGCTACTCCTATTCCTCCTACCACTGCTACTGCTACTACTGTTGCTGCTGCTGCTACTAATTTTGCTACTACTACTCCTGCTGCTGCTGCTGCTGCTGCTACCACTACACTACTACTACTACTACTACTACTACTACTACTACTACTACTACTGCTACTACTACTACTACGACGACGACTACTACCACTACTGCTACTGCCACTGCCACTGGTACTGCTACTACTACTACTACTACTACTACTGCTACTACTACTACTACTATTACTACTACTACTACTACTACTACTACTACTACTACTACTACTACTACTACTACTACTACTACTACTACTACTACTACTATTGCTACTGGTACTCCTGCTGCTACTGCTACTGCTACTGCTACTGCTACTGCTACTGCTACTGCTGCTGCTGCTGCTGCCGCTGCTGCTGCTGCTACCGCCACCCACCGCCATGACCACGACCACGACCATTGCCACTTCCAGCAGCACTGCACATTGCCGCTATCGCCACCGCTCCTACTACTCTACTACCACGACCGCTGTCACCACCAGTTTGTCTGGGAGGCTTGTATTCTGCGTTGCCGGTCTGGTTGGCGAACTCAGTTTAGCTGAATCTCTCATATGTGCCAAGGCCACGTGCAGTCGCCTACCACAAGCGCGTGCTGGAGTCCCGTGCGTCCCACAGCTCTCTGCAGATTCATGAAGACTTTTGGCTGTAGAGTTGCGGGGTGCGCTGCTACGCGTTCGGGGCCGGATTTTGTGTTGCTTAGAGACGTATCTATGCAGAATTTATGGTCGATCTTTGAACATGTTTAGGGCCCGTATCCTCTGACCACAGGGCTGGCTCAACCACCTTTCTGCTGCCACTCAGCTGCCTACCGCGACTACCCGACTCCGGCACATCGAATCGCCATCAGCTGTGCCCGATTCTTTCAGGACTGGCAGGGTGGTGCCTGAGTTTCGTGCTCCTTGCTGCGTCTAACGGAGTTTACAAAGGATGGAGCATTGGAATCCAAGGGGTTTTCACATGTCTACCACAGGATCCGTTGGCGGAGACCTGCCAGCTCTGGCATGAGCTCCCAGATGAGAATGGTCCAGGGCCCAACACGTGGAACACGCTGATACTTTGAGATGTCTGTCCGAAGTTTGTTTAAAGTTTAAAGAAGCCGAATTGAAGGTTTGAAGACTGCCTGCGGAGTCTGGAGATCTTTCCAAAGCATAGGCATTTCGGGGCAGTAGTCAAATACCTTGTGTGGAAGTTGGTGCCTGCAAAATGTAGGAATGCCGAAGGTCTCTTCAAAGTCAACTTGCACCACCTTCAGCACGATGTGCCGCGGGACCTGGGCCTGAGTCGACTTAGCGGTACATATGCATGCATCATGTCGATAGCGGTATGGATAGACAGCTGTCTATGCATCCATGCATCCGTCCATCCGTCCGTCCATCCACCCACGCTCCCACCCACCCACCAAGCTAGCCAGCTAGCGAGCGAGCTGGCGAGCTCTCTTTCGGCCTATCTTTCTGTCTATCTACCTGTCTGTGTATCTATCGACCGATCTATCTATCTGTCTGCCCATCTGTCTGACTGACTGCCTGTCTGCCTGTCTGCCTGTCTGTTGGTTTATCTATCTGATATGCATTTGCTTTAGCCCTCGAATGTGCGGAGAGGATGCCAGGCCAATCCGGCCCATCGGCCATGTACCCAAATTTACCACCCGAAAGAGGCGGTGGGCAGCTCATGCGCCTTGCCTTCCTTTGAGAATAAGGTCCCCAGGCAAGTCCACTCGGAGCTCAAAAATGTATTGAACACACATGCCGCATAACACAGACATATCATTATGCCCATGGTATTCCTCACAGATGGGTCCCTGAGAGTCCATCCATCACCGCAGGGTCCCTCATGTGTGCAGGTCAAGTCTGACAGATCGAATAACCGGCATCCCAAGCGACCTTCCGGGTCTTCCAAGCCTCCTCGAAACGCAGGCAGGGAATGGCACCCGGCTTGGGGCCATTCTTGCGGTCCAAGGAGCGGTGAACCGGACTCTCGAAAAGAAGAGTTGGCAAACTGAACAACGTTCGTGTCGGAGGCATCCGCCCCCAACTTGCCGAGCCTCGTCGTATCTGTCTGTCCGTGCATTCCTACGGAGGTACCCATGCCTGGCTGCCTGTATGTATGCGTGGGTACACGCCTGCACGCGCGCGCGTGTCATGTGACTTCCACTGGACTGGACATGCAAGCAAGAATCCCAGCCCGGTCCGAAAGACCCGAAACATGGAACTTGGAAAGCTCGAAGGAGTTGTTTGGGCGCACCATCACGCAGACCCTTCAAGAAGTCTTCGCCAAGTGCGGCTTGTACATCAACAAGGCCACCGGAGGGGAGAGAGAGAGAGAGAGAGAGAGGCACCAAGGGTTCCATCGGTATTTGTGTTTCCTGGCAATACCCGGTGCCTCCCTCAGTCCTGCACTAAGTTTTACCTAAGTAGCCAAACCGCTCCAGTCAAGGGTCCGACTCGCTGGGCAAGAAAGATACCATTGCACTTTGTTGTTGAGTTGTGAGTTTGCCTTAGTGACTTAAAAAGTTTCCAGCGGGGGATGACCGAGTTCTTCGATCGTACAGCCGAGCCCTCAAGGACAATATTTCCTGCGGGGGTCTCTCCCGCCATGAGCTGGGGGTGTGCGGACCGCACGGGGTGGGGGCCTCCCACCCGGACGAGAGAGAGAGAGAGAGAGAGAGAGAGTGGGAGGGCTGCTCCCGCCTCAAACCCCGAGCAAAGCAAAGCAAAGAGAGTGAGAGAGTAAGCGCCCGGGGACAAGAGCCAGCGAATACGAGCTCGCTTGAAAGAACCGGGACCCTCGAGCTGCCCCAGGCGGGACTGCTAGTGCATAAGCGGGGAATGGCAGATGGTAGCCTCAGGATCAGCGTGGCAGCTCGGGGCAAAGGTTCTCAGTGTCACCTCTCATCAGACACGGACAGTGGCGCAGCGCAGCGCGCAGGGAAGGGGGGGACACGCTTCCCACTTCCCAGACGCCCGGCAAGCAAGCAAGCAAGAGACAGAGAGAGAGAGGCGAGAGCTGCCCTGCCGAAGCTGACCTTTGCCGTCTGCGAGGGTTGCGCTGAGTACGGTGAGATCATGTCGTGATCGCGACTTTGTACAGCAACATAGCAGTGCTCAGCATTCATAATGGTGCTTTGGCATTGATTTTACTAAAGAGTTAAGGTTTTGACGGCGACAAGGCTGAACATGGTCATGCTGATCCTGAGGATGGCGACAACGATGCTGATGTTGAGTCTGGTGCTGATGCTAGTTTCGATTTTGATGTCGATTATAATCATTGTTGGCAGATGATGTTGGCAATGATGATGAGGATGGTAACGACATATGACGATGACGGTCATGATGATGATGCTGATGGTGGTGATGATGGTAATGACAATGTGTTTGATGAAAAACATGCCGATGCTGTTGGTTTTGATGATGACTATGATTGTGATGATGATGATGACCACGATGACGATGCAGCAGTGTGTGATGAGAGCGGTGGTGACGGCTGGTGGTGACGGTGAACGTGATGATGACCGTGGTCACAGCCGTTGGTTCTGATCTCTGTTGGGTCCTCGGCTTTCTGGTCATGGCTGTGCTTCTGAAACGACGAGTACCGTGCACTGCGACAGCTGGAAGAGGTACGTCGGTCTCGTCATCTGGAGAGCTTGATCCAGTTCGTTCCGGGGCCGCTGTGGCTGCAGTTGTGCACCGTTTACTTTCCGGAGGACTGATCCCGAGCCAAGCTGCAACACTACAGCAGCACGGGCAAGCATAGCATACTTGCCAGTTTCGGTTATCGTTTTAGCTGAGAAGGTAAACATAGGCATGCACTTGCAGCCCCAAATGCTACGGACCCGTCATCGCACGCAGTTCTCCAACTTCATCTTGCCTCAGTCTCATGCTACGAACCCAACAGCACCAGCAGGACAGAAGAGGATTAATGTGGTATCTCCGCCGAGGCTGGGGCCCCGCAAGGCGAGGATCTTTCACAAGGTGCTGACAGACTCTGCACGCCACCCAGAAGAATGCTGTCGTGCCGTCTAAAGTTGCCGCGTTGCTTGGGGTCAGGGCCAAGGCGGGTTTCGCTTCCGAGCTTTGCAGCTTGCAGTCGACAAAAAGAGAGAGACTTGTGTCCCTTGCACTGTCAGCAGAATCAACTTTGGATTTGGGTTGGCTGTGATGCTCTCCCTCGCTCCGCAGAAAGGTTAGGTAGAGGGTTGATGTGGCACTTGCGGACTGAAGGGTTAGAGGTCCAAGGATGTCTTGTGATTGTGCCTTGCCTTTGTTTCGAGTCAGCACGGCGTTTTTGCTGGCTGTTTGCTTGTTTCGATTTTGGAAGCAGCAAGCAAACGTTGAGGCTCAGTTCACTTGCGGGGGCGGGCGGATTGGCTCTTCAATCTGCTGAGGTGAAATCCCGTGCGACAGTACAGGACATAATGTCCAAGCAGCTGGGCGTGGAGGACGTGTCTTCGATTCGTGTCAATGCTGCAACTTCTGTGAGCGAAGTCGAACATGTTGGCAAAGCTCCAGTCGTACGCTTTTGGATGAAGAGTGTCGAAGGACACTGAGAACAATGCAGTCCTCAAGAACATGTTCCCCTTCATTAAGCGGCTTGGCTCTATGTGAACACTGTCTGTGAGACCTCAGATCATCTCCTAGAGTTTCTCCGAAGACTGAGCCTTAGCGTGCCGCAGCCGATGTGACAGACTGGTCAATGGTCCAAGCAACTAGGTTGTGGTGGGCAGACTCAGAACATCAGGCAGATGACGCAGACCAAGTTGGGAATAATCAAGATATGGGCCCGTTAACAGCGACTGGTATGTGAAGAATCGAAGGAATTTACTGTAACTTACTGTGTCATGTTGGGCAACTGGTCTGTCAATAGCAGAGCACGATACAACTTACACACGGCGTGTTGAGAATGGCATAGCTAAGGCATCACGGAGCTTGTGCACACCAGGTTGAGAATACTCAAGAGATAGGACAGTCATCAGCGACTGCATCAAAGCTTCCCGGACAGACCAAGGATCCAGCCGGATTTCCGCGATGGCTGGTATGGCAGAGACAGAGATGAGTGTGCTAGTAGTGCCCTGAGCGTGCGAACTTCTTGAGAAGTCCTTTTCATATGATCGAAAGACAGCAAGTCTGCTCCGGTTCTCGTTTTTGTTGGCGAAGGTCTTGAGCGCGTGCGGATTGCACCTCAACTCTACCACTGGGTCCTGCACTGAGCGATTGTAACCAAGCCAACCTTTCCGTGAGCGATTGTAACCAAGCCAACCTTTGCGAGCGGCAGGCAGTCTCGGAAAGCCTGCATCAGTCTTCACATGATGCTTTGCGAAGTGCTCGCACGTGCTCGCACATTCGCAGATGAAACCTGCCGAGGGCCGTGATGCCTGCATACTTGGCAAGGTGGCATGGTCCGGTATTGTCCAACCTGACACGGGTTGATGAGAACCAAGCCCTTCCGAACTGCCCACAGAAAGGAAAAGCAGTGCTTCGACTTTGTCCTAATCCCAAAGCCCAGGCTCCAACCTTAGAAGAAGCCCCCATCAAGGCTAACCGTACAGTGACCAAGCATCGGCTCTCCGAGCATTCGCAAATCTAATCGTGACAGGCAGACACATGCACGCGACAATCCACAGGCTCAGCCTCAACCCACAGCCTCACAGCCATCAAACCCTCCGCCGTACTACTCCGAGCCCACGCCTCCGAGGTTAATACGCTCTGCAAGGACGCGTTAGTGGCCCAGTCCGAGCAGCTCTTCGATGACACGAAGGAGGAACCTCGGATCACTTACAGTACTTGGGTTGCAGTGAGGACTGAGAAGTCTGGGCTTAGGGTTTACCGCATGCTCAATCATGTGCAGTAAGGATGCACGCTAGTAGGACAGGCATGGATAGGCGTTGATGTGGAGAGGATTGCCATCTTCGATTCTCAATCATAGTTGTGATGTCTCGGACTGGGTGATACTGTATGGCAGGTGCTGCAAGGATCTTCGAGGTTCAAGGCGAGCTAGGGCAGCTAGGAGCTTTGACCGTGTAGTGTGCCAGGCTGAATTAGATTCCGTCTCTATTTTCAGGGCCGGGGATTCAGGACAGTAGAGTCTGCAAGTCAAGGAGGTTCTGCTTGACGTCGGTAAACTTCTGGCATAAAGCTGCTGATGTTAGAGGGGCTTAGGGCACCACGCTACACCAAGTTTTTCATTCTGTGCCGCAAGTCGCGCGATGCCTGCCAGGAAGACATGGAAGGTGACGTGGTGGGGCCAGGAACTTGAACTCTCGATCCTGGTCAGCTTGTGCCGATGCGTTGTGACAGAGGCTGAATGTAGTGAAAGGAAACTATAGGTTTCTCCAGTCTGAACTAGTTTTGTCGAAGAAGGGGGCCGTCAGTTCACATTTGTGCACAAAGACCGCTTTGTTTATTCAGGCGGGTCATGGACTTGCTGCGTAATGACGCGAACTTCGTCAATGTGATCCAGGCCACGATCTAACATAGCTTATGTGCCAGCTGAGACTGCCAAAACGCCACCGCGATGTCAGGATCAGGACTGGAGCACATGGCACGAGCGAGCAGGCGAAGTGACTCCTTGTTCCGTTTCTCAAAGCGCAAAGCCTTGTGATCCGGTCTGAGCGTAAAGAACCGAGTCCTTGGAGTTCTTTGGAGAAGTAGTGGGGGGCATCTTCCAGTACTACATGTATTTCGCGTCCATCTCTATTGCAGTTGGCGGCTTGCATGCTAGTCGCTCTGCCTGTGTGTGTGTGTGTGCGCGCCTTCCTCGGCCGCAGGTTTCGAGTCTGATACGGGCATCCAACCAAAATCGTAGTGCCCGGAAACCCATGATGACATTTTATCCAGTGCTGCTCTGAAACGTGTGCAAATCTGAGTGTCGGCAACACTTGCGGCACTCCTGCTGCTCCTGCCGGTGTGTTCGACGCTTCTTAGAAACAGCGTTTTGATCAGGATGAGCTTCTTCTGCTGCACAAACTCCCCGGCGATGATGAGTGAACTGTTGTTGCCAAGCCAACATCTGCCGGCAATGTGCGATTTTGCCGACTGGTGCGAAACGGGTGCCCAGGAAGAAAAGTGTCTACACAGACCGCATGCCCCTGACCCCACACCCTAGCTCGCATGGTCGCGTTTGTGAGTTCGCTGCCAGGCGAAATGAACGTTCCTGACTCGGCCAACTTGGACAAGCTCTTCGAGACAATCCTTGAAGAGCTCCAAGAGCCCTACAAGGACTGAGGCTCTTTGTAAGATATGAAATTAGTTAGTAAGATCAAATCGCATGCGCAGTTCGTATGTGGCAGCGACATGCAGACTTACGAGACCAAACTTTCCTTGGCAGTGCAAGCTGTTGTTCTCACCGTAGATACTTCTCTTTGTGCAAGCACGTATATATGCATTTCGTCCGGCTCTCGCAGCTGCTGGGGCTACCTTGCGTCCATCAGGTTTGGCTTGTGTTACAATTGTGTGTGTGTGTGTGTGTCTAGACTTGCTACAGCGCCACATAGGAGCCCGGAGTGATTGGGCAGGTTTCAGGAACATGTTCTCACATTCAGACTGAAACGTGAGCAACAACAGCATAACTCAGCATAACCAACAAATGGCCCTCGCAGCCCTGTCCATGCAAACTATGTTGTCTTCAGGTTTGCTTCGTTGCTTCCACTCGAGCTAGGTTTTCTTGAGGGAACCATTTTGTGTAATTACTCGCCCGACGACCTTTCCGCCGAACGAGGGCGACTAGCGGACCGAGGCACGCAAGCGCAGCTACACAAGGACTGGCTCAGAAGCCGGCCCTTCCGTGCGACGAAAGAGCTTTTGAAAACCGGTTGACCACAGGACTCGAATCATCACATAAGCTCCCTTGTCCTGTCGCGCTGACACTTCAAGCAGCAGGGCAGAGGCCGAGACGAGAGACTGCGTCGAAATTCGTTCGTAGTTCGAGGCTCATGTTTGCGAACTTTACACAGCGACTGCCGCCTGGATAGTTTGTTCAGGACAACCGCCAGGTTGAGGAGAACGAGATGCCAGGTACCGACCTGCTGGCACCTGAGGTCATGCTGACATTCAGACTGGTAGTACAGTCCTCATCGGCAGTGGTACACGTATGCACCTTGCATGCATGCAAGGTGTATGCGTGTATGCCGCAGCAGGTGTCCCTGCAGCATGTCAGTGAAGGTCATAGGGGCTTGTTCAGATGCCCAGCTGCCTGAGTGCAAGCACAGTACTTAGCTGAGGCTACAGTTGAAGAGCCAGACGACGAGAAACTCACTAAACGGTGCACTGAAGGCAATGGGCATTGCATGCCGGAATTATGCCCTGGACTATCTGTGCATGAATTGACTTGCAAAAGACTGCTCAAAGGCCCGGGGTGTGGAGAACAGAAGTTCGACCGTTCCCGGCGGTCCAATGGAAGAACCTAACTTGCACTCTTACTTGCTGTTGGCTTAATTGTCTGCATTTGTCTGCCAGTTTGTATTACACTCTATAAAATTTCCTCTGGCCCCGGTCCGTGTTGAACATGCGTAGACTAAGTCCAGGAGGCTCTTTGCGTGACACACATACCACGAGCTTTGTAAGCTCGCCAAAAGCACATGGAAAGCTCGCGCCGCATTGACATGCTCAGGGACCCGATTGATCGTCATGCTGCCTGCTGTCTGAACAATGCACTTGTGCAGCACTGTTACATCGGCGAGAACAAAACCAGACAGACCGACCCAGTGCACTAAGAAGTCTTCAACAAAATGAGAAGGCCCTTGCTTTCCAGTACAAGCTCAGAGGTGTCTTTCCGGCTCAGGTTCTATCTGGCCACAGCCGAGAGAACGGAAGCCTTTGCGGCTGGCAGTGTCGTCCGTGGCTCGGTGATGCAGGGGGCCCAGCTAAGAATTCTGCAACAGACGTAGCAACAACAACAAGTACAAGTGTAAAAGCGCAGCAGCGGCCACAATGACAAAGCTGGCAGCAACACCCACTTGAAGATGCCATTCTTTCCTTCATCCGTCTCAGCAACTTTTTTGTTTATCGTCAGAGGCTGATCACATGTGACCGAAGGGGTATCTCGGTATCTCTCCTTGTTTGGGTTCGCTCATCTTCGGGAGTTTCGCAGGCACTGATCGGTACATTGGCGCATAATCACGACTTCAGTTCAGGAGAGACGAGGAGTATCCCGACCGCGAGGCCATCCCCGTAAGTGATTTGTCGATTGGGCGGCTGCTCTCTGGTATGCTTTTGAACAGTGGGTCCTTCTGTGGGTTTGAACTTGCATGCGCTTGACGCTTGTTGGTCAAGCACCGCGTACGTGTCATGCATCTCGAATCTTGCGAAGTTCAATTTGGATTTCGGCGCCACCCCCCCTTCAGCACCAAGGCCCCCCTCATCGGAGGAAAGCGAGTTTGACTCTCGGGGCAGCCCTTCCTTGGCCAGACGCTACGGCAGTGCAATCCCCAAGGCTCAAAATGTAGTCTCATGGACGAAGAAAGTCCCGCACCATGAACGGACGAGGTGACTTGAATCTAGACCTTCAGGCATGACGAACCCTAAACTCCTCGGCCGCAGGTTGAAGTCAACAACTCCAAGACGCACAGGGTGTACGTGAAACTTGCCGGCGACCCTGGCGTCAGGTGTAATCTCCTTCGTCTTGCATTGTCATCGCAAAAACTGGGACTGTTGCCTTTCTTCTTGTGCAGACGATGAGGCTACTTTTTTTAAGGGTCGAGTCAGGAAGGTGGGGCTTGCAGCCGTTTCGACTTTGAAATGTTCGGCTTGGCTTCGACAGGCCTTTACTTCCTGTTCCGGCCCCGTTCTGGCAGAAGTTGTGAACATGGTATCAGGTTCGGAAGTCCTAGCTTTGCGATCCAACCCAGAGAGATTCTTAGGCAGGGGGGAATGCCGTCACTGGCGTCTTCCAGAAGGAGTACAAGCAAAGCAGCGCCAAGCAGCAGCCCCAGACTTGATATGGACGGTTTGGACCATGAGTTAGGACAATAAGAAGGGTTACATAGGATTACTTACGTCTTGCAGACGAGGCTGTCACTACCGGTCTTGGTTTCAGCTTTCGAATTGTTGGGAATACAGCTGCTGATGCCCATAGTCCCGTGCAGGAATTCCACAAACGTTGAAGCAGTAGATAGCATTGACAGTAGCTCCAACGAATGTGCATTTGAGCGATTTCTGCTCGTGTGGCGGGCATATGGCCAAACACCAGTACCAGCCCTGCCGACAGTCGCAGTTTCGTTCTGAAGAAGTGTTGCGGATAACGCATAGGGTGCATCAGGCGACTGAGGCTCACAGTTTAGGATACAGTAGTCAGTAGTACGTACGGTGCAGTGAACTTAACAAGCTAGTAAACAGTATTGACGACGCGTGTGGGTTCTGTACAGACAACATGAACAAGAAAAGACATCGCGGCGAGTTATAACAACTACGCATACCACGAGAGTTCGAAGCATGAGGCTCTTTGCAATGCCCATAATACTGCCAGCGTATCGATCGTCCGAAGTCGTTGAGCATCGTCTTAGGTAAGAAGAGCACATCGGTCACATGTCTATTAGATGTGCTGTCAGATCTGATCTGTACTGCCAGAATTGCTTCCACAAGCTCTGTTTGCATCATTGCTGGCTGCTGAAACACTTCGTGCTTCTTCTGATTCTTACAGTGCTGATGCTTTCCCACATGGGCAGTCATCTTGGTGTCTCATATGTAACGTGCTATAGTCTCTACAGTTGCACTTTCGCCACTCATCTATCGTCGTGTTGATCCTGCTGCAACAGCGTCTAGTCGTAATAAGACGACGGCGTCTACTGCCACAGCTACATGCTTCCAGTAGCACCACTACTGCTCTGGTACTGCCCCATTGAAACACGCAATTGATACTACATCCAACTGCTTCAACTCCACTGTATGTTGCCAGTTCAGAATTGAGGCGTACGGTCAGCATTTCAACCAGTAAACCTAGAGCGGCTTGGCCGTTGTATCAGGAAGACAGGGCACATACCTGGCTGCAATCGCCACTTCACCCACGGCGAGCCGATCCTCGCACGTGTCCGAGAGATTACGCAAGGCAAGAGTGCGTGGTTTGAGGGCAAAAAGAGATCAGATTAGTATGGTGAAATACGTCTAAACTGGAGCAAGCTCCCGCTGCCATCGAAACCCAGAAGCCTGCAGCCACTATGAGGGACCTAGCCAGGTCGATTTAACTTCACCGTGCTGCTCTCTGTCGACCATGACGAGGATAGATCGAGTCAAGCAGGGACTTATGGGGATCCCACGACACGCCGCCAGGAGCAGTGGTTCGATCTTTATCCTGTTCAATCCGACGATGTTCCATACTTCCTGCCGGAACAGCATGATGATTGGACCAAGGCCAGTGGTGTGTGGCATCTGACTACCTCGGCTTGTTGCTTATGTGCTTCGAGGTGACGTTGGGCCTCCTGGACAATGCCGAGATGTGCACTGTCACGTTTTGTGGTGGAGCATTTCTGTGGCTTAAGATGCTGTTGACATCCATCACCGTGTGACGTTAGCTGCATCCGCCATGACAGGCAGCGAAAGGCCAAGGTGAAGGACTGGATCAGACGTCCACGGAACATCAAGCATCCCAACTACGTTGTGACCCTGGCCTGTTTGTACTGTACCATCCTCCAGGGCTACTTGCTGAGTATTTGAGCGCAATGTATGGAAAGGGGTTTCATGTTCCCTATATCGAATACTTGTGAAACCGACGAGACGCGTATTGCCACCTCAACGGCAGAGTAAGAGCGGGGCATATGCCAGTGACTAGTGCCATGATGCTAATGGTGGGTGTTCTCACGCTTCCATTGCCTCGCGGCGGCACTATACATCAGTCATCGGCGGTCGGCGATGGAACTTATTGGAACTGACAAAAAGACTTCAAATTCGTAGAACTTGGTCGATTGGGGTCTAAGCATACAACAGTTCAGGTGTAGCCTCATGCCGCACGAAGAAAGGGTTAGCATAGCCTGCGGCTGCCAGCCTGGAGACCATGAACATGCCGTGAAGACCTTGGACAGCTTCTTTCTTGGTCAGAGTCTGAGTGGCTTCTGCCGTTTGTCCTGTTTGCTGCTGATTTCCATGGCGATTTGTCTGTGCAGCAATGCCGCGACCGCTAGCGATGCTCGAGGATTGTGTTTGTGTCCTTCGACCGAACCTCCTTATTCCACAGCCATAAAGCCTTTGGACTGCTCCAGCGAGCCGTTGTTTCGTTTCTGTTCTTCTACTTTACTGCTAGTGCTGCTGCTGTTGCAACTGCTGCTGCTGCTTCTACTTGCTGCTACTGCTACTGCTGCTGCTGCCACTGCTACTTCCTGCTACTAGTGTTGCTGCCGCTACGGCTGCTGCTGCTGCTGCTACTACTACTACTACTACTACTACTACGACTACCACTACCCCTACTTCGACTACACCGACGACGACTACTACTACTACTACTACTACTACTACTACTACTACTACTAGTACTAGTACTAGTACTAGTACTAGTACTAGTACTAGTACTAGTACTCGTGCTGCTGCTGCTACTACTACTACTACTACTACTACTACTCCTGCTACTACTACTACTACTACTACTACTACTACTACGACCGCTACTACTACTACTACTACTACTACTACTACTGCTACTACTACTACAACAACTACTACTACATACTACATACTACATCCTACAGTCTCAATACAACATTTTACATTCTACATACTACATACTACATACTCGTACTACTACTACGACTACTACTACTACTACTACTACTACTACTACTACTGCTACTACTGCTACTACTACTACTACTACCACCACTGTTACTACCACTGCCACTGCCACTGCCACTGCCACTACTACTGCTGACTACGTCTACCACTACCAATACACCTACGACTACGACGACGACGAGGACTACTACTGCTGCTTGTCAGTGCCAGTGCCCCGGCTACTAATTTACTACTGCTACGACGGCGAGGACTTCGACAGAAGAGCAGGTTGTGCGTTTGCACACCTCTGATTGGAGTGGGTACATCAGTTTGTAGCCTGTCCGAGCACGTCTGCAGTTCTGAACGTTCGCTGGGCGCTACAGTTGTGACTATGTGTGTTCTAAGGTCCTGTGTCAGTTGATCTTTCACTGCCTTTTGGTTCGTGTCCGTGCATGTTTGTATTGCCGGCTCCGACATCAACTCTGGACCCCACCGTCCGCTGATTAAGAAACGCGCTTCCTTTCGTCCATGGGCTTAAGGTACAGGGCAGAGGGGTATGGGGGGGAGGGTGTTCCAAGATTCTGTGCCCGCCGCACCCCCCCACCCTTTGCCTTATGGCAAATCTGCGTTGCCTGTCGGCTTTGTATGATTCCGACCCGGACAGTGTGTCAGAAGTTATGAGTTATGAGGCATGGAAACACTGGTATTTACAGTGCTTTCTTGGTCCGTTGTTTATAAACAACCGACCTTGCTTGTAAAATGACTCTTTCATAAGCTATGGGTTACTCATGTGTGCGTATGTGTCAGTCTGCCTGTCCTCCTTCGTGTGCACAAATGCTGAGAATTTGCTGCTACTAGATAGCTCAGAGGCCGAGTCTCCGCGACCATAGAGGTTTTAATAAAAGCCTCTATGCAAAACCTCTATGGTTTTTTTTATAACAACCTCTATAAACCATAAATGGCCATAGGAGTGTGAAGGGATTGAAAATCAAGCCAGCTTCTGGCACGGATACGTGTGGGGATGGATGGCATCCAAGGGCCTAAGCCTCAACCTTTTGTGGAGTTTCATTGCGGCATTCCCCTTGCCAGGCTTCTGTGGCAGCATCCCGATAAAGACAATGTCCAGGTTCACATGGGTCGTAGATTGTTGGTAACCGGAACTATAGCATCTGGCAAGGCCTGAACATCCACACGAGATCGGAAACAGTCGAACCACAGCTGAGATAGGTATCAAGTTTATTATCCGCGGCCACCTTTAATTCCTTGACTCCTTGACAGTCATACATGGACATATGTTCAAGTCATTCATATATGTCTACGTGCAACAACAAAGACCTGACATTATAACCATATATTTCGGTTCCTCTGCACCCCACTAATAGATCTGAGAAATCCCGGAATGGTATATACAGGAATGCTACCAAACAATGGAAAAATCGCAGGCTACAACAAAGCATTGTGTTCTGGTGTTCAGGAGTAGGATCTAAACCCTGAAGAAGTAGCCAATCAGTATAGCTGTGAGGTACCTGCTGACATCTGAGAATCATATTGGGCCTG